GTCACGTTCAGTTATGACAGTCAGCACGGTAAAACTCTCTCTCCAAGATGATATATTCCCATTATAATACTAAGTTTAAGGAAGGAAGGAATTATCACAAACAGAAAGATTATTAGAAGCCTTTGTGAGCCGTGAGCAGCGGCGGCCGGCGGATTCAAGAAGGAGCGTCCGGCGGGCTTGCGGCAACCACATGTGACGACCCCGGGCTGATCTCCGCTTCGTCTACGGTGAAAGCCGATCCGGCGATCCACAGCGCGAAGTTGATGTATTTCCTCAGCGACCAGCATGGATCAGCTCTAGGCATGAAGAAGCGGATATCGTCCTCTTTTGGAAGGTCAAACAAAGTAGTTTCGCTTTCACAACGACAAACACAGCGTCTTCACGACATGGCGGCAGCAACAACACTACAGCGAGAATAAAAGTTACGCCTTCTTTCTTTGCGTGAACATTTGGGCGGCGTTATGCAAATCTTCCCACATAGTGTCCACATAGTGAGGTAGATATGTGGGGACGTGTTAGAACGAGCCGTTTTAGGTAGGTGTGGCTGACTCTTAACTTTTATAAAGAATATCTCTTTGGATTTGAGACTTTAGTCTTTGCAACTTTACAGATCTTCTTTATGCACCAAGAGCTTGTAGCACTCCAAAGAGAAAGGAAAATTTGAAATTGCATCATATGACCCCTTTAAATCAGAGCAGTAGATGCGATTAAACCAGGTCATGCAAACAGCACAAACAAAGCCTTAATCTGCGAGGTGTGATATGAAAATGAGGGTAAGCTTACCAACAAACATAACAGTGCCAATCTTGGTAGGTTGCCCAGGAACTTGAACTTTGCAGCGGTTCCCAACAGCAATGTCTTCAGCAGCCACCTTCTCTTCCTCTTCTTTCTTAGCAAGAGCCTCTTCTTGCTTGGCCCTGTTTTCCTCATTAAATCTACCTAACTTCATATTCTTCTTGAAGTTCCGTATCGAATCTGACAAAAAAAAAAAAAGAAAGAAAAGTTGGCACTTTATAAAAGCACTTATAATATGTATAATCAAAATTAACCATTTGTACTTGTACCTACTGTAACACTGTATTTCACGCTCTAACACGATGAAACAAAAAAAGTAATTTTTAAACAAAATGTTAACTCCATTTAAAACCTGCCCCTTTCTTACAATTGACGCAAGCTCACATTTAGTCGATCTGCCTCCATCCAATCAACAACCAATTGATAGAACCCTGCTCTAAATTTTTGCCCCATTTTCAAAAGTCCATTTAACTCAGATGTACGTCACAATAAGGAAGACATGACATGTCTCTATTTCGATTTCTTTTGGAGTTAAATCACAGCTCAACTATTTGTACAGTCACTATAAGTTGCTATAAATTAAATCACTCAACAAAGGCTGAAATTTGATTATTAAAGATATTTGGATTACCTGCCCTTTTTTCATAGGCTTCATCAGAGATCTCAAATTTCTCCACCTTTGACAAATCAGTGAACTCCCCACTTTGTGTACCACTGCAGTCTGTCACCTGCACAGAAAACAACACTAAAGCATAAGAATTCCATCTTTATTAATGCTATCAAAATAGTTTTAAAATGTCCAAAACAGTGGAATTTTGAAGCTCTAGAGATCATCATCTCACATTGCTTAAATTTTGTCATTTGTTTTCTGTGTAGCTGGGGTGTCAGAAAAGAGTCAATACCCACATGTATTCTGCAGTCATCATCCACAGGATAGGAGCCGAGCAGCGCTTCATTGTTGTCTAGCTTCTGTAAGAGCTTGTCTGAAGTGCTAAATAGCTCAAGGTCCATAAAGGCAGCTGGGGTGCCCACAATCAGCTCCAGTTTACTCTGAAAAACAAACATACAAGTTAAACTAGAAAATAGACTAAAACATCAATATGATTCCAAACAGACCCTCACAGTTTGATGACCTGTGATGTAATACACAACAAATATAGAAAAATTGTACCTTCAGGTGTATCAGAGCTTGTCACTCGGGCAATACCTTTAAAGCCCAATTTTGTACCTTACTTACCCCTAAATGGTTCAAAGAAGTACATTAAGGGTACATATTAAACCTCAGCAGTAGTAATATTCATATTTTAGAGGTTGATAATGTTTAAAATCATTTTTTAAGGGTACTGACACAGTGACAATCTCTTGTACAACTTTTTTCTTGCACATTTAGTCTGACTATATGCAATCATTAAATTATGAACAGAATGCATATTAATATTATGACAATAATTGTTAATAGTGTGGAACCTCTAAAGAGACATGATGATGATAAAAATACTGAGATGGGAGTTAAGATTACATTTCAATGTTTTTGCAGTCTCTTGCAAAACTTTTACATTTCCCAAAGAAACTTTGTTCACTCGCAAAATAATTGCTTTCCCTCAAGAAGCTTTGCCTTCACTCGCAAAATTTGCAGTGGAAATAATATGAAGAGGTAGGAAATTCTATTTCATAGATTTTGCAAGCGAACCCAACATATTTTGGAGAAATGTAAGTTTTGCGAGAATGCATAGTTTCTTGGGGGAATGCAATACTTTTATGAGAGAAGACAGTTTCTTAGGGGACTGCAAATTTTTTTTGTGAGTGGACGCAAAACCATTGAAATATAATTTTTACACCCATGCTTTTTTTCACATCATGTCCCTTTAGGAGCTCCATATTACAGAGCCACAAATGCTGTTATACTGAAAAATAAATATCATGCAAGAGTGATCTCATGCCTGTGATTTGACCATATTTCCACAATGGACAACATATGCATATGACCAGAAAATTACATCCAAAGCTTGAAAAAATAAGTACCAAACCCGTTTTGAACATTTTAACCCATAATCGGTCCCTGGGTCAGGAAGTTTCCTTCATTTTTAAAAAGTGTTCCCTTCATCTCAGGGGCACGAGACTCTGTGACTTTTCCTAAATAAGGCTTGATTTCGTTGTTCTAAAGGTGTGTAAAAAATTAATTTAAAAAAATGACCGTTTAAGGTCCTTGGGGTCAGATTGACCCCACATTGAAAATGAATGGGAAATCAAATAAAAAATCCAGTATAAATCTGAAAATTTCTACATTTAAATAAAGGTCTGGTCCTAGAGCATAAATGCAAAGTGGAACAAACTTTCTATCTCACACACACACACACACGTGTGACTGCAACAGAGAGCATTTTTTATAGAAATTGGCATATAAAATCAACAAATATGGCATAAATCTGAAATATTTCCATACATAAATGAAGGACTGATAGCACAAATGCAACATGGAACAAGCATGTTCACTCACACACACACACTTATAATAATTTGCAAAAGTAGACAATTCAAAAGACATCAGACAACAACAACAAATTCTAACCTTTGACAAAAATACAGATTTCTAATGTATTTTAGAATGTTTAAATATATATGCACAAAAAAAGTGAAAATGAAATAAGTCCCTATGGACCTCTACTGGATATATGTGGTCATTGCACTTTCTTTCTTTAAAGGGGTCATATGATGCTATTTTAAAGATCATTATTTTGTGTATTTGGTGTAACAGAATATGTTGACATGCTTTAATGTTCAAAAAACACATTATTTTTCGAATACTGTACATTATTGTAGGTCCTCTATGCCCCGCCTCTCTCAAACACGTAGTTTTCAACAAAGCCCCCTCCTTTGACAAGCGCAGTCTGCTCTGATTGGCCAGCTGACCCAGTGCATTGTGATTGGCCGAACACCACAAGCACACGTCAAAATGTAACGCCCCTTACCATAATCGCGAGCTTCAGCTTTCAAAGTAAATATCAAGACAGTTAATAATTTTGTTAGTTTTACCATCAGTTCAAGCCCGAAAGGGCAACAGAGTCGCGTGACAGACACAGTGATGATGCAGTACACAAGCCGCGGTTAAGACAGCTGACGTGCTATGATTTCTGACAGGCAGTTCACTCTCCTGTGATGTGACCCTGTTCCCCTCTCACACACACACACATGACGCATTACTCTGCATTTGAACAGTCAATAGCAAATACCATAACTGATAACAAAACATACTTACAGTCGCTGATTCAGAAGCGCCAGATTGTCATAGCAAAGTCGGATTTTTTTATTTTTTTTTTATTTTTAAGAAATAGCCTTTGTGCACAGCCAGCCTTGTACTCTTCTAGGTTCAAAAAACTGTCGTCCATAAAATGCGTTGCATTAGAACATCTGGGTTGTGCTGTTCTATTGTAAATAAATCTTAACCAATGATTCCTAATTGCAGCTACTTCCGGAAGGCCAAATAAAGTGCTTTTGCTTTCGCACTGAAATACACAGTGTCTTCCTGACATGGCTGCATCAACAGGACTACTGTTCCTGAAACCATGCCTTCTTTCTTTGCGTGCACATTTGGGCGGCATTATGCTAATATGTCCAGATAGTGACGATGTGTGGGGGCGTGTTAGAACCAGCCGTTTTAGGGGGGCGTAGCTGACTTTTAACTTTTATAAAGAATATCTCTTTGGATTTGAGACTTTAGTCTTTGCAACTTTACAGATCTTCTTTATGCACCAAGAGCTTGTAACACTCCAAAGAGAAAGGAAAACTTGAAATCGCATCATATGACCTTTAACTATAGTTCCTACATTTTCCCGCAAACTTGCAGTCGCAGATGGAAGTATTCTATCCCTAACACATAGAACAATGTCCAGAAACAATTTAGATTTAATTTAAAACATCGTTAAAGTGATTTTTTCATTCAAATTTTATTTTTCTTAAGCCAATTTATGGCGTAGTTAAGTAATTGTGCAGTAAATAGGTAATCCCCAAAAACGCAGCATAAATGTATAGTTGAGAAGTAAATAAAAAATTATATATAGTTTGTTATATAAAAAAACGTAACGTTATATTTCCTTATGCAATCGCTCTGTAAAAGTTTGTAATACTACACTAGTAACTTATATGAGTCGCACAAAAGGCATGATCTGCCCTGCCGCACCTTAAACTCTGCGATCGTTATGCCTCGGTTGAATCTCCGGTTCACCTCGAAGGAGCTGACGGTGCTGGTCACCCGCACGGACACGGTGGGGTTGGTGATGACTGTCACACTCCCGTCCATCTTCCGTTACTAACCAAACTCTGATGCTGCTGGTCTGGTCGAGCTGAAAATCAAAAGGTGTGTTTGGTATTCATGCAGCAAAACACAGATGCCCGCACAGAACAGTTATTTTGTCATGGCCTCCACTTAAGGTTTAATATTTGCTGTCTTGCTGGTTGCTATGGCTAGCCAGTATTTACATGCACTCACGTGACAAGCTCTCACTTTATTCACTGCTTCAGTCAGCTGTTAGCATGTTCAGTTCTCACCAGTTACACGCGATCCGATATTTTAAGGGCTGTATTCAGAATTCAAACCAACAAAACCGTGTATCTTCTTCTTGTTTTAGCTCGTAAGAAAAGCTCTTCCGTCAAAGACCACACCACTTGATTCTGGAAGATTCTGCCCACCCACATTGACCTTTGAGCCAATCAAAATTGGCAATTGGGCGGGACCTTTGATTCAACTAATAGGAAAATGTTATCAGGCTTTCAGTGGGCGGGGAAAACGTACTCTGTCGAATCGGGCTGTTCAGTGCTACGGTTATTATCCAATCATTATTTGTTTTGTTGAAGCAGACCGCTCCCAAAGATGCATGATACACACATGCTTGCAGTACTGAATGTATTCCACACGATGCTGCTAGAGTTTCAGAAACGCCGATAAAAAGCTAAAAACATACGACAGGAAATTCATTCGGAAATTGCTAGTAAATTTCAGTAAAGTTTTGCATTAGAAATAGTGAAAACGTGCTCTAATAATCTTTGTTTTATGTGCAGCTTCGAAAAATATTTGTGTACACTAGTAAGTTATTTTAAGTTATTTAACTGAACTATAAAATTACCTTTCTGACTACTAGTTATTAAAAACGCTATTGTAACTAACATAAATGTTAGGATACTAGTTTGGGATAGCCTAACTATTGTAATAGTTACTCCTAACTAAATATAAATAGTACAAAATTAAATGCTACTATAGTTACAGCTAGCTACAACTAACAATGAGAGAACAAGTGTTACAATTTTGATACATTAGTTTAATATATCAACATTATTTATCTTGAACTAACAACTAACTAATTGTTACTTACTGGACCCATTTTGAAATACCTTTGAAGCTGAAATAATTTAAATACACATTTGCTAGAGTGTATATCAGAACTAATACACCCAACAGCCTACTCCCACAATACGGTAGGCCACACACTGCACTTTAACTCCAACAGTTCAATACTGGACTATACATACACACTGCATTTAAACACAATAATCTATCTGCTACCACTGGATACCATCCAATGCACATCCATGACATTTTGCGTATCCAGTTAATGTATAATCTGTTGCACCTTCGCATATTTTGTGTATATATGTCTACATAATGTAGAATGTGTACATGCTGTGTATAAATGTGTATTGCTAACTGCATGTACATACTGTGTATAATGTGTAGTGCTAACTGTAAGTATGTCTAATAGTACACTGTGTGTACTGACTATATGTATGTGCATATTGCACATTGTCATCTGTTGAGGTCTGTATGTTTATATGTAAATTGTTTCTGCACTGTCTGGAGCACGCTCCCAAGAATTTCACTCACCAAGGCACATGTGCTGTGGTGATGTGACAATAAAAGTGACTTTGACTTTGACTTTGACTATAAATATATATAGCAGGATAACCAAGGCACATTTAACTATCTACTACTAACTGCTACTCATTTTCAGATGTCTTGACTGCAAAACATGACTGGTTATGTTAAAAGGCAAGTATGCACAAGCAGAAGGATCAAAGGGGTTAGGGGTTATGGGATGAGAGGATAGAAAGTTGTAGGATGGGGTTGACAGACTACAGCCTGATCTCCCGCCTTCCTGAAAACAAAGTTTACATTCTTGCAAAGGGATGACATGGAGGTACAGAGCTCTGCCTCATCTCATTCTGTCCTTCTGCTTCCAGGTGTGCGTGTCCTCTTTCACATTTAAACCCTTACTCTTCCTGTCCATCCAGCATGCAAAGTTTTGAAACACACACACACACACACACACACACACACACACACACACACACACACACACACACACACACACACACACACACAAACAAACAATGTTGGTTTCATTATACAACTCAGGACATCTCACAACATCTGTTGTCTCAGGTGAAGTCTCCTACAGACACTAATCCAAACCAGTCGTGAAACATCAAATATGGTTTATATAAAAATTTGGCCTTAAAATTGATCAAAGACTTCCAGACATGCTTGGGTTCATTACAGTAAGTTTCAATGCATAATTTGGAGTGTGTTCGGTAGGCCTATAGATAGATAGATAGATAGATAGATAGAGAGATATTGACACAATAGATTTAACAAACTTTTAAAGTGTAAAGGAATTCCAGTCTCTAAAAATATCCTTCATACTGAGAGCCCTGGTCATTGAAGTTTTTAGCATTGTATGAAATTTTACATACAACTTGTAAAATATGTTGTTGGATGGAATTACATTTTAATAAAATTATGTCTTATTAAATCTTCATGACCTCATTGAGTTTGAAAGCAGTTGAATGCACTAACAAAAACTTGTGAGGCTTGTGTATTGTTTGTTTCTCAATGGGAAACAAATGTGGGTTGGATAAAAAGGATTGCACAATGGTAATGAAGGAGCCAGATTGAAATGCAGCAGGCCTGTGGCGGTGGATGTCTAGATGGGGGAGGTTGACGAGACGCAGGGGCGTGACGCCTCGCTCTGCAGCAACGCTCACTCGCCTACGGGAGAATGGGGGAGAGAGACACAGAAGGGGAGGGAGGAGGAACTTGAAGGAAAAAAGTTAAAATAAAAATGGCTTCCTTGTCTTTGGAGTCCACAGAACAAACTGAAAACGGCCCAAAGGAGTCCACGCAAGATGAAACCAAAGTGAAAGAGGAGACGGATCCGGACGAAGTTTCGGAACAACTGCTCCAAAGCTTCCAGAACTCGGCGCTCAGTTTTTCCACCGATCAAGTCGCGTGTCTGTGCGAAGCGCTGCTGCAGGCGGGCAATGTGGATCGCCTGTGGAGATTCCTCTCCACCATCCCTCCTTCGGCCGATCTGCTACGTGGCAACGAGACCCTGCTGAAGGCCCAGGCTCTGGTCGCTTTCCACAAGGAGGAGTTCAACGAGTTGTACACCATCCTGGACAGTCATGACTTCCACCCGAGTAACCATGGGTTCCTGCAAGACCTCTACTTGAAGGCGCGCTACAAGGAGGCTGAGAGGTCCCGGGGTCGCAGTCTGGGCGCCGTGGATAAATATCGACTGCGCAAAAAGTTTCCTTTGCCCAAAACCATTTGGGACGGAGAGGAGACGGTGTACTGCTTCAAGGAGAAGTCGCGCAACGCTCTAAAGGAATGTTACAAGATCAACAGGTATCCCACTCCGGTCGAGAAGAAGAATTTAGCCAAAGTCACCGGACTTTCTTTGACTCAAGTCAGCAACTGGTTCAAGAATCGCCGACAGAGGGATCGGACCCTCTCCGGTACCAACAGCAAAAGGTAAGCGCGTTGTATCAAGTATGTGAACAGTGATTTGTCTCAGGCCCGAGAGAGCCGTAAACAAACCACTATTGTGTGCGAGGTTTACACTAGAACGAGTGTAAACTACAAATCTGGACAGATTCTGAACAGATTGCCCGCTTCTGATGGAGGCTGTTACATTCACAGTAGGTACTCTTCATAAAGGCCTAGTGTGTCGCAGATGATAGATTATTGTATTTAATAAACTCTTGAACGTAGGAAACTTTTTTTGAGTTTGAGCACAGATGAGAGATACAGACGTGAAAAAGTAAAATATTTGGTAAATATTTGCCATGCATTCTAATTGTTAAACGAAGTGTATGACAAGCGAAAATGACAAGGAGGTCTTAGAAAACACGGCTGAAAGCATGTTGCTTTGTTGTGAAACGTGAGATAGGGGCGCCAGGAGTGGCTCGAGTTTCCTGAACTCCTGCACCACAATGTCTTTCTGTAGTCCATGGATGGTTAAATCTCAGGGCAGAGAGGACATTGGTTAAAAAAAAAGCTTAATTAAGATGTAAGTGTAGTAGCTTACTTGGTGAGGTAAGCCACACTTAATATAGGAATTTCTTTGTATTAGAATTTCTTATAATTAGAAAAATATCAGAGAGCATAGTTTTTTGCAGTCTTGTTGTGTGTGTGTGTTATCCCCTCATTCAATTCAATGAAATTATACATTTTAAAACATGTTTATTATCACTGCAGCACAACTTGAATCTGTTGCCCCCATTATATATAATTGCAATCACATTTTGTTGTGAATATAATACTTAAATTAAAATTGTTTATCTACATAAAAAGAGAAACTTACTATGTTCATACTGCAATTATCACAAATATTTTGGAAGGGTTTTATCAAATATAATTACGTTAAATATAGTTGACTTCGATTTGGTCCATGAGGCATGAATTAATGGAGCCAAAATATCTAAATGTTATGATATCAGTTATGCTTGTTCCCAAAAGTACATGTACATATGCAGATGCCTATTCTGTGTATTTTCATCAGCAAGATATAATAGAATGGAAAAATACAATTTAGTTTTCTAGTATATGTGTTTATTGATCTAAAATACATTTCTAAAACATTATGCTTCAGATGTTAGAACAATATTCAGCAGCCATTAATAATGTACATGCATGTTTTTTTTTCTGTAATTTCCTCACTGCAGCACATGCACATGGTGACAGGTTGGCTAAATTTAAAAAATGAATGAATTTTAATGTTTGCAACTACAAGACAAGAGTGTCAGTGACCATATGCACTGCAGGTTAGCTGGTTTCTGTTGAACCACAAGCTTCACTGGGTCTGGTTTGTAAATAATTTAGGTTTTTCCTCTATTGATACAACTGTCAAAAATGTTTTGGATGATTGATGGTAGACATTCATGGAAACTACATTTAGACTTTTTGACCAAATGTAATGTTTCTGTCTTTTCTTTAGTGAATCTGATGGAAACCACAGTACAGAAGATGAAGCCAGCAAGGGAGATCTGGATGATATTGCTGACAAACCTGCTGCTCAAGAGACAGGCAGCTCCAATGCTTCTCTTATATCACTCTCTGGGGCTCCTTGCAGTACTGGTCAACTTATTCTCAACAGCACCGGGGGATTCTTTACAAGCTCTCATCCACTGCTGCTCAATGGGAGCCCTATACTCTCAGGGGCAGGAACAGGGGTCTTCATCAATGGGCTGACACTGAGCGATGGCCACACAGTCACTCTCAGTCCTGTTACAGCTAATGCACCATTGCTACTAAATGGGGCTCAAGTAATCCCCAAAGATGACCGGGACATCAATGATATAGAGGCCCAAGGCAGTCTGCCCACAGTGGTTCTGAATCCACAAGCCAGTCTAACTAGCACAATACCTCTC